TGGAGCAGCAGAGTTGGGCTTACGACTGGCCCAGTGTAAACTAATACGGGACTGGAGCAGCAGAGTGAGGCTCACGACTGGCCAAGTGTAAACTAAGACGGGAGTGAAGCAGAATAGAGAGGCTGACGACTGGCCTAGTGTAAACTAAGACGGGAGTGGAGCAGCACAGTGAGGCTCACGACTAGTCCAGTGTAAGCAAAGACGGGAGTGGAACAGCAAACTGAGGCTCACGTCTTGTCCATTGTAAACTAAGAAGGGAGTGGAGCAGCAGAGTGAGGCTCACGACTGGCGCATTGTAAACTAAGACGGGAGTGGAGCAGTAGAGTGAGTCACACCACTGGCCTAGTGTAAACTATGAGGGTAATGGAATAGCAGAATGAGGCTCACGCCTCGTCCATTGTATACTAAGAAGGGAGTGGAGCAGCAGTGTGCGGCTGACGACTGGCCCAGTGTAAACTGAGAAGTGAGTAGAGTAGCAGAGTGAGGCTCACGCCTGCCCCAGTGTAAACTAAGACGAGAGTGGAGCAGTAGAGTGAGGCTCACGACTCTCCCAATGTATAAACTATGACGGGAGTGGAGCAGCAGAGTGAGGCTCATGACTGGCCCAGTGTAAACTATGGCGGGAATAGAGCAGTAGAGTGAGACTCACGCCTGGCCCAGTGTAAACTAAGACGGGAGTGGAGCAGCAGAATAAGGCTCACGACTGGCCCAGTGTAAACTAAGACAGGAGTTGAGCAGCAGAGTGGGGCTTACGACTGGGCCAGTGTAAACTAAGACGGGAATGGAGCAGCAGAGTGAGGCTCACGACTGGCCAAGTGTAAACTATGACAGGAGTGGAGCATCAGACTGAGGCTCACGACTGGCCCAGTGTAAACTAAGACAGGAGTGGAGCAGAATAGAGAGGCTCACGACTTGCCCAGTTTAAACTAAGACGGCAGTGGATCAGCAGAGTGAGTCTCACCACTGGCCTATTGTTAACTAAGATGGGAGTGGGGCAGCAGAGTGAGGCTCACGACTGGCCAGTGTAAACTAAGACTGGAGTTGACCAGCAGAGTGAGGCTCACGACTGGCCCAGGTTAAATTAAGAAGGGAGTGGAGCAGGAGAGTGAGGATCACGACTGGCCCAGTGTAAACTATGGCGGGAATAGAGCAGTAGAGTGAGGCTCACGCCTGGCCCAGTGTAAACTAAGACGGGAGGGCAGCAGCAGAATAAGGCTCACGACTGACCCAGTGTAAACTTAGACGGGAATGGAGCAGCACAGTGAGGCTCTCGACTGGCCATGTGTAAACTATGACAGGAGTGGAGCAGCAGACTGAGGCTCACGACTGGCCCAATGTAAACTAAGACGGGAGTGGAGCAGAATAGAGAGGCTGACAACTTGCCCAGTGTAAACTAAGACGGCAGTGGATCAGCAGAGTGAGTCTCACCGCTGGCCTAGTGTAAACTAAGATGGGAGTGGAGCAGCAGAGTGAGGCTCACGACTGGCCAGTGTAAACTAAGACTGGAGTTCACCTGCAGAGTGAGGCTCACGACTGGCCCATGGTAAATTAAGAAGGGAGTGGAGCAGCAGAGTGAGGCTCACGACTGGCTCAGTGTAAACTAGGACGGGAGTGGAGCAGAAGACTGATTCTCACGACTGGCCTAGTGTAAACTAAGAAGGAAGTGGAGCAACAGAGTGAGGTTCGCGCCTGGCCCAGTGTAAACTAAGATGGGAGTGGAGCAGCAGAGTGAGGCTCACGCTTGAACCAGTTTAAACTAAGACAGGAGTGTAGCAGCACAGTGAGTCTCACGCCTGGCCTAGTGTAAACTAAGACGGGATTGGAGGAGCAGAGTGAAGCTGACGACTGGTCCAGTGTAAACTAAGACGGGAGTGAAGCAGCAGAGTGAGGCTCACGCCTGGCCCAGTGTAAACTAAGACGGGAGAGGAGCAGCAGAGAGAGGTTCACAAATGGCCTAGTGTAAACTAAAGCGAGAGTGGAGCAGCAGAGTGAGGCTCACGACTGGCCTAGTGTAAAGTAAGACGGGAGTGGAGCAGCAGACCGAGGCTCACGCCTGGCCAAGTGTAAACTGAGACGGGAGTAGAGCAGAATAGACAGGCTGACGACTGGCCCAGTGTAAACTAAGACGGGAGTGGAGCAGCAGAGTGAGTTTCACCACTGGCCTAGTGTAAACTAAGACGGGAGGGGAGCAGAAGAGTGATGCAGACGACTGCCCCAGTGTAAACCAAGACGGGAGTGGGGCAGCAGAGTGAGGCTCACGCCTGGCCTAATATAAACAAAGACGAGAGTGGAGCAGGAGAGTGAACCTCACGCCACGTCCAGTGTAAACTAAGACGGTAGTGGAGCAGCAGAGCGAGTCTCACGCCTGACCTGGTGTAAGGTAAGGCGGGAGTTTAGCAGCAGAGTAAGTATCACGACTGGCCCAGTGTAAACTAAGACGGTAGTGGAGCAGCAGAGTTAAGCTCACGACTGGCCCAGTGTAAACTATGACGGTAGTGGAACAGCAGAATGAGGCTCACGCCTAACCCAGTGTAAACTAAGACGGGAGTGGAGCAGCAGAGTGAGTCTCACGCCTGACCTAGTGTAAACTAAGACGGGAGTGGAGCAACAGAGTGAGGCTCACGACTGGCCCAGTGTAAACTAAGACGGGAGTGGAGAAACAGAGTGACGCTCACGACTGGCCCATTGTAAACTAAGACGGGAGTGGAGCAGCAGAGTTAGGCTTACGCCTTGCACAGTGTAAACTAAGACGGGAGTGGAGCAGTAGAGTGAGTCACACCACTGGCCTAGTGTAAACTATGACGGTAGTGGAATAGCAGAATGAGGCTCACGCCTGACTCATTGCAAACTAAGACGGGAGTAGAGCGGAAGAGTGTAGCTCATGCCTCGTCCATTGTAAACTATGACGTTAGTGGAAGAGCAGAGTAAGGCTCACGACTGGCCCAGTGCATAAACTATGACGGGAGTGGAGCAGCAGAGTGAGGCTCACGACTGGCCCAGTGTAAACTATGGCGGGAATAGAGCAGTAGAGTGAGGCTCACGACTGGCCCAGTGTAAACTAAGACGGGAGTGGAGCAGAATAGAGAGGCTGACGACTGGCCCAGTGTAAATTAAGACGGGATTGGAACAGCAGAGTGAGTCTCACCACTGGCCTAATGTAAACTAAGATGGGAGTGGAGCAGCAGAGTGAGGCTCACGACTGGCCAGTGTAAATTAAGACGGGAGTTGACCTGCAGAGTGAGGCTCACGACTGGCCTAGTGTAAAGTAATACGGGAGTAGAGCAGCAGAGTGAGGCTCTCGACTGGCTCAGTGTAAACTAAGACGGAAGTGGTTTTCAAGGTAAAGTTATGTAAATTAACAGTTTTCCGTTAATGACTCTCATAACAGAATTATGCGCAAGAAAATCTTTTTCTTTATTAATCAAAGCTGTATGTAGAGAAATGTGAAAAGTATCGTCATAGATCCGCGAGTTGTTGGCTGCAACTCTAGCATTTAATGTAATTAAATCAAGCATTCATGTAATTATGTTTTAATGCAAAGATATCTTGTTTATTTGTTTACTATTAACGCAAATTATGCGGATTCATGAAGATTTCTGGGAGCTAGTACACCTGTATGAATCATATTGCACCTGGGGAATAGGAGGAAATCAAATTCGATCGAAGCAAACAAATTTTTTCCAATACCTTGGATCAACAGTCACCAGCATCAAGAGACTCTCCATGAGAGGTCATAAACAATGATATATTCCAGATAAAACGTCTATATAATAACATTTTACTATCAGTGATGACAGTTGTCGGTCCTCGAAGCGCTATGTCAGGGCATCATTCACTCAGCCAGACGCCGGGTCAACACATGGACGAGACCCAGACCAGGACTGTGACGGGGAATCAAACAGGAAAGTGGAACTCGGCCAGCTAGGAAATGTGTGAAGCTGTCTGTGCTTTCGTATTCCTTTATTGCCTCTTCTGTGAATGGTGAAAAGTTTCACAAGGTAGATATTCATGATGAAAAACTCAGTTTCAATGAACAAACTTTTGTATGAATCACATACACCTAAAACTACCATCCTTTGCATATGGATAACAAATTCCCCCTGAGTCAGATGCAGTGTGTGATCTCATACACAAAGACATAAGAAAACAGGTACACAGCAGCAGGTTTACTAGTTCATAATATGCAAGCTCTTCTCAAACCCAAACCCACTAACAAAAATATTTGCCCAATCCATTTTTAATTCTACCCAAGGAATACATTTATCGCACTCGAAATCTGTAATAAAGTTGGTAGAATTACCGACAATATGTAAAATAAAAGGACACAAGTGCAACTAATGTGACTTTTTATTGTGGTAACGTTTCGCTCTCCAGGAGCTTTGTCAAGCCGTTACCAGAATACCGTCTAGAGACAGAATAAGGCATGTATCACTGGCAACTTAGTGAGCACTCCATATAAGGTCACGCTGCTGAAAACTATACAAATACCTGCTAATGGCTGCTTCTGGTGAGGGCTCCTTCAACATCCGCATCTGTCTTATTAGCCATTAATATACAATTAGTAGTACATGACTGTTGTTTTAGGCCTCCCACACTATAGATACAAAGAATGCAGCATTCACATCAGTGTGAGCAGACATTATCATCAACTGAGTTACGACATATTATCAGTTGTCTCTTTACACTCTCCCATCCGGCAAACAATACAGATCATTATTATAGAAACCTAGGGTCGAGAGACCCCATGAATTATTAGGTCTTACCAAATGTAATCATCAACAAATATATATTACATAACCGTTCTAAAATGTTGTTAAATGTTATTAAGTATTACTAGAACATATCAGTTATCTTGCATGGTCTTAGGCGACTTTCACAAGTGGTGTCACGTTATTCAAGATAACGTGGCATTATCTGGTATTTTAATATGTCGTTAACCAATAACGGATGTCAATAAATGTTTAAGACTGCCCAAGAATTACAAATATGTGTGTTTACAGAGAGGGTGCCAGTACTGCTGCTCGTTGGTGGGGTGGTGGCACTGTTGCTGGTGGCAGTGATAGTCGCATTCCTCGTCCTCTGCACCAAACAACATTCGGCCACCAAAGGTGAGAGAGAGAGAGAGAGAGAGAGAGAGAGAGAGAGAGAGAGAGAGGAGAGAGAGGAGAGAGAGAGAGAGAGAGAGAGAGAGGAGAGAGAGAGAAGAGAGAGAGAGACAGACAGACAGACAGACAGAGAGAGACAGACAGAAGAGAGAGAGAGAGAGAGAGAGAGAGAGAGGAGAGAGAGAGAGAGGAGAGAGAGAGAGAGAGAGAGACAGACAGACAGACAGACAGAGAGAGACAGACAAGAGAGAGAGAGAGAGAGAGAGAGAGAGAGAGAGAGAGAGAGAGAGAGAGAGAGAGAGAGTGAGAGAGAGAGAGGAGAGAAGAGAGAGAGAGAGAGAGAGAGAAGGAGAGAGAGAGAAGAGAGAGAAAGAGATGAGAGAGAGAGAGGAGAGAGAGAGAGAGAGAGGAAGAAGAGGAGGAGAGAGAGATGAGAGAGAGAGAGAGAGAGGAGAGAGGAGAGAGAGGAGAGAGATGAGAGAGAGGAGAGAGAGAGAGAGAGAGGAGAGAGAGAGAGAGAAAAGAGAGAGAGAAAAGGGGAGAAAAGACAGAAAACAGAGAAGAAGAAGACAGAGAGAGAAGAAGAGGAGGGAGGAGAGAGAAGAGAGAGAGAGAGAGAGAGAGAGAGAGAGAGAGAGAGAGAGAGAGAGAGAAGAGAGAGAGAGAGAGAGAGAGAGAGGAGAGAGAGAAGAGGAGAGAGACAGAGAGACAGAGAGAAGAGAGAAGAGAGAGAGACAGAGAGACAGAGAGAGAGAGCAGAGAGAGCAGAGAGAGAGAGAGAGAGAGAGAGAGAGAGAGAGAGAGAGAGAGAGAGAGAGAGAGAGAGAGAGAGGAGAGAGAGAGAGAGAGAGAGAGAGAGAGAGAGAGAGAGAGAGAGAGAGAGAGAGATTATTTGAATGAGCAATAAAAGAATTAGCAGTAACAATGAATAAACAGTTTTAAGAAGAAAGGCGGTATAAATCTGTTAATTATTTGCACGTAAGATGTTAAAATAATGTGTTGATGAATGGTTTTGAAAATCGACAAATTGAAGAATTGAGACACTTATGCAACATTTGGGAATCTTTATTGAAGAAACGTTTCGCCACACAGCGGCTTCATCAGTCTTATACAAAGCAGGAAGATATAAGGAGAGGAGGAGTTTGAGGTAATCAGTCCCTCAGCCTGTAGTCGATGTGTTCAGTCTATCAATCTTGTAGAAAGTACAGCATATACGGAAATCTTTATTAAAGACTGATGAAGTAACTGTGTAGCGAAGCGTTTCGTCAATAAAGATTCCCATATGTTGCATAAGTGTCTCAATTCTTCAACTTGTCGATTTTCCAAACCATTCATCACATCTGTCAGACACTGCATCATGATGGGATCTTGATACAAAGAATTCTTCAAAACTTGTCCAATCTGTTGGACGAAGACCTACTTAGACTAGTGGATGGTTCTGCTATGACCCCGCCTCCTCCTGCTTCGCCTCACCTGACTACAGTATATAAGCCATCTACTACGACCCTATGCTGTACTTTCTACAAGACTGATAAACTGAACACATCGACTCCAGGCTGAGGGACTGATTACCTCAAACTCCTCCTCTCCTTATACCTTCCTGCTTTGTGTAAGACTGATGAAGCATCTCTCACACACTCAGTTCACAGAGTACACTACCTTATCACTAGATAGGCACATGGCTTCTCCCGAAAAGAAGAGGCCACGATGCTCGATGAACACGACGGAGGACTCGGATTTGGAAATGTAGGGCGTAATTCTAGCGAAGAAGTTACGAGACCACTCCGTGTCATCAGAGGAAAAGGAAGATCCTGCTCACATTGCAGCAGGTCTGACAGTTCTAACCATGGAGACAGCGAACATGGAAACAGGAGAGGAAATAAACATTCCATCCCCAGAGAACCAAGAAGGATGGATCACTGTGGACAACAATGAGAAGCGCCGTCCATCCAAGGAGCAGGCAAACCAGCTCAACCCACCAGGCAAATTCAAGGTGAAGTTTTACGGGGGGCACAGAACCCACTATGGAGTTGTTTCATACCTGAATCACGACACAACCTGAGGTTCAAGATATGGTTCAACTTGAGGGGAGAGCAATACTGACTCCTCTCAACAAGGAAATGTGCACCACCTTGAAGAGTCATGGAAACAGACCGCTCCTTCACCCTGGAGGAACTGGATTCTCGGCAGATCACCAAGGGTGTAGTGATGCGACACCCACTGATGATGCCCATCGAGGCAGTAGCAGCTCATTCCAGTGTGGTGTCAGCTCAACGTCTCAAGACAAAGACGGCAGGCAACGCACCAACCTGGCAGGTCCTCATACAGCATGTAGGACCACTGCCATCCCAGCTGGACCTCGGTTCTTGGGGCAGGTACGATGTCAGAACCTTCATGGGAGAACCAGTTCGCTGTTTCAAGTGCCAGCATTACGGACACCTGGGTGCACTCTGTCCCACCAGAGTAATCTGCGGTGTCTGCAGCCAGCGCCACCCTACAGAGGAATGCATTACCAAGCTGAAAAATGCATCGCCACCCACTCCTCAATGCCCGAGCTGCAGGCAGAAACACCATGCCCGGAATCTTCGATGCCCCGAGAGGCTCGCCCCCTACCTCAACGAAGAAACAAAAACAAAAGGAACAGGAGGCGTCGACAGGGAACATTTGGTCAATACGATCAGCAGACGGCACTACACGAGCCCCCACCGGCCATAACACGATAACGCAGGGGCTCCTTGCCCAGCACAGCCGCTTTGCAGGCTCCCTTGGTACCTCACCAGCTGATGCCGGCTACCCAATCTGGTATACAGCAACAGACATCAGTGCACAAAATAAAGAAATCCAACCCTCAGCAGCTCCTAAAGACCACAACAGCCCAGATAATATCCTCTGCTTCGAAACCAATGCCAACGCAGGCTATCACCAGGGAGGATCTCGTAGCACTCATCAAGACGTTCACGGATATTATTTGCAAAACAATCAACTCCACGGAACAACAGAGCGTATTCTGGCAGATGGTCAGTGCACTCCTGAGAGTGTGCTTCTTGACCGAGGAGGAGACGGTGGACGCAATGAATTAGCAGGTTCTCAGAGCGGGCATGACTCAGTCCCCAGCTCAGAAAACAACAGCGGTGGAATAACTTCCTTACCAAATCACACCCTCAAGGTCCTACAATGGAACATTCAAGGCCTGAGGGGCAAACACCACCTCTTTCTACAAAAAACTCTGTCCCTACTATGTGCCCAAGACTGCCCGATTTTACTGGGTATTTTCGGCACATCGATGAGGGCATTCACTGCAGAGGCACAGCTGTATTCGTATCCAATACAATACCTCACGAGGGTATAGCCAACCCTGTGGACTGTGGGGAAGATGTCGAGGTACAGGCCATCTTAGTGCACATACCTGGGGTGCCCATTACCATCTATAACAACTACAAGAACCCAAGACACACCCTCGACATTGCAGAGCTCCTCGCGCTAGTACGCCCTGAGTGTATTATTTGTGGGTGGAGACTTCAACGCACATCACCCAATGCTGCACTCTCTCAGCAACCAACGCTGCTGGCAGATACATCGCCATGCTCCTACACGATATTCCAGAGGTAAAGTTCCTAAACAATGGAGATCCCACACACCTGTTGGGTGGCCACCTTGACATTACCTTTGGGACAAGACAACTCGCAGCAAGAGCCACATGGGAAACTCATCCTAATCCTGTCAGTGACCATTTTGCAGTGATCACCACCTTCAACATCAACAGGCCTCCCACATTTGTGCTGCCTCCTAGATGGGACGTAAAGAGGGCCAACTGGAAGGTGTTCCAGGATTATCTTCTTGACTGGTGGTCCAAATACACTCTATCTGAAGACTGTGGTACGGTTGAACAGGAGCTAATCACTGTTCTCATCCAGGCAACAGAGTGCGCAATTCCAAAGAAGTCCACAGGACGCACTCACATAAGAGACTGGTGGTTCTACAACGACGAGGTGCGGGAGCAGAACCACCGCATCAACTGTTTTATGAAGCAAGAACAGGCGTAACCCTACAGCGGAGAACAGGAATACTCTGAGAGCCATTGTGCAGCATGCCCGTAGAGTCTCTCTCAGAGTAAAAAACTGAGGAATGGCTGTAGTGGTGCTCAACATCCGGGCATCACACCACCTTATCTGAGATACGGGGCAAGCTTGACATCTCAACTGGCAATAGCAAGCCGAGGCCACCAGGACACCTGAACCCATCCCAAGAAGCTGAGAAACTAGTGGAGCTCTTTACTTCCAGGGGAGCCTCCACTCAGTTCCCACAGGACATCCGGGATATACAGATGGATCTTCTGCCACAGCGCCAGTTAACGATACAAGCTGCATGTTAGTCGGAAGATGTGACTGATGAAGACCTCACAGATTTGGAACTCCGACTAGCCATTAAGAACACAGGTGACACTGCCCCGGGCATCGATGGTGTCACGTACTCCATGATTGCACGGGCTGGCCAGAGTGGATGGGAGGCCATACTGGAAGTCATAAACAAGTCGTGGAGGGCTGGGACACTCCCAGCAGCTTGGAAGAAGGTTACCATTGTACCAGTTCCAAAGCCCAAGGACCCAGGCAGTATGAGACCCATATCGCTGACCAGCTGTTTAGCCAAGACTGCTAAGAGGATGGTGTTAAACTGCCTTCTATGGAAACTTGGACCGCCTCATCATCACATATTTGACTTCACCAAAAGAGTGGATACAGCAGAGTGCATAACCACCCTGAACTTATCCCAAGAAGCTGAGAAACTAGTGGAGCTCTTCACTTCCAGGGAAGCCTCCACACAGTTCCCACAGGACATCTGGGATATACAGATGGATCTTCTGCCACAGCGCCAGTTAACGATACAAGCTGCATGTTAGTCAGATTGCTGATAGTAACAAGAAACCTAGTATCGTCGTTTACCTCGACCTTGTGAAGGCAATTAAGCTAGCCAGCCCCACAGCAATTCTAGCAATACTAGCTCGG